CAGAAAATAAATTTATCTTATCTCTATGCTTTTGATTTATTCCGAATAATACTTAGCACCTTGCGTTACTCGGTCCATCCAACGAGCCCCCGGGTGCTAGGAATCGGCCCAAAGGCAACCATCCATTGGCAAACCAAACGGAAAGCATAGGAAGATAGAACTCCATAACTCGATAGGTACTTTTGTACTCAGATTATGTCGCAAGCAATCAAGATAAATATTATAAAAAATATGATATAACATCTGTAGCCCCCGACTCACTACTCAATGGAAGACCAATTGGTGTAGTGAGGCAGAGGAAAAGGAAAAATATCATATAAAGAATAAAATAAATGATGACTTAGCTTTGTAATATTCCCCTTGGTGATGGCAGAAGTGGCCAATGTGGGAACAAAGTCGTCCATCAATAACAATGAAGACACCAGTCGGCGGCGACGAAGGCGGTCGACGGCGAAAGCAAAGATGCCCACTAATGGCGGCATAATAGGCCAACCGTGTAAGCGGAGGCACCAGTCGGCGGCGACGGAGGCAGGCCGGTGGTGAAGACGTAGACGCCCAACAACGGTGGTGTGACCAACCAACCATATAGGCGGAGGCACCAGTCGGCGGCGACGGAGGCAGGCCGGCGGTGAAGTCGTAGACGCCCAACAGCGGCGGCATAATAGGCCAGCCGTGTAGGCGGAGGCACCACTCGGCGGCAACGGAGGCAGGCCGGCGGTGAAGTCGTAGACGCCCAACAGCGGCGGCATAATAGGCCAGCCGTGTAGGCGGAGGCACCACTCGGCGGCGACGGAGGCGGGCCGGCGGTGAAGTCGTAGACGCCCAACAGCGGCGGCATAATAGGCCAGCCGTGTAGGCGGAGGCACCGCTCGGCGGTGACGGAGGCGGGCCGGCGGTGAAGTCGTAGACGCCCAACAGCAGCGGCATAATAGGCCAGCCGTGTAGGCGGAGGCACCACTCGGCGGCGACGGAGGCAGGCCGGCGGTGAAGTCGTTGACGCCCAACAGCAGCGGCATAATAGGCCAGCCGTGTAGGCGGAGGCACCACTCGGCGGCGACGGAGGCAGGCCGGCGGTGAGGTCGTAGACGCCCAACAGCGGCGGCATAATAGGCCAGCCGTGTAGGCGGAGGCACCAGTCGGCGGCGACGGAGGCAGGCCGGCGGTGAAGTCGTAGACACCCAACAGCGGCGGCATAATAGGCCAGCCGTGTAGGCGGAGGCACCAGTCGGCGGCGACGGAGGCAGGCCGGCGGTGAAGTCGTAGACACCCAACAGCGGCGGCATAATAGGCCAGCCGTGCAGGCGGAAACACCAGTCGGCGGCGGTGAAGGCCAGCCGGTCGGTGAAGACGTGGACGCCCATGAACGGTGGTGTGACCAACCAACCGTATAGGCGAGGAGACCAGTCGGCGGCGACGGAGGCAGGCCGGCGGTGAAGTCGTTGTTGTTATCAGCAATGGCGGTGGCGAAGACAAGCCGGCAGAGTGGACTCGCGGCCGATCGACCGGAAAGCTGAGACGCCTCGAGTCCATGACCAGCATCAATCGCCTCAATAGTGCCGCGTAATTATATGCGAACAACAACAAAAAATAGCAAGAGATTAATCTGGGATTAAAAATCAGTACGATAAATAATGATAAAAATCAGATTGAGTTTCCCCTGACTGATTTGGATCAAGTCAGAGAAGAGGAGCTTGAAGAAGTGGTCGACGGAAAGGAAGTGAAAACTTCCAAAGCGAAAACGAAGTCGGCGACTCATGAAATTGATTCCATCGCGCTTGTTGATAGGAAACTCGACGCAACCCCTACCTGGCGCGCCAACTGTCGAAACATGGATTCGGCAATAATAAAAGGGGGTAGCGCACGAGACCTAAAAGTGGATGGATGCAGAGACAAAGGATTTAGACAGGTTCAGGCCCTCTCAATGAGAGGTAATACCCTACTCCTGTTTGGGGATTTGAATCCGCCGAGTGTGTATTGATCTGACGATCAGGTTGTCTCATGCCCCTAGAGGGGGCTCCCTGCCCTCCTTATATAGGTTGGGGGGCAGGGTTACAAGATAGAAACCTTAACCAATACGGTATCGGTTTCCTAAATCTACTTTACAATCTTATCAAACCAGGACTTTAGGCCGTTCCATAATATACAGGGAAACGTAATACCCAAGTCATGATCTGTTACATATTTCATATATATAAGTTATCCCCTATAACTAGTCGGATAACCATGCCGTGTGGGTATGGGGTACCCATAATCTCCACAAGATTATTGCTAAGCGTTATCTATTCAATAAATTAAATATTTTTAATAAACTCACTTAACAAATAGGTTAGAAACAGTGATCTAAGCAATATAGTAGATCAAGAAATTTTTTAAGAAAATATATTTTTTGAAGTGTGGAGCAAATAACATGTTTCAATAATCCAGTGAATAAATTGAAAAGAACTAATCTCTCTGTTTCAGAAAAAAATCCAACTTCTAAGTTAGAATACGAAGATAGGATGTGTCCAGATTTATTAGGAATTGATTTTTTTAACATAGGAAGTAGTCCTTAAGTTTTTTTTAAGGAGAATAGCCTATTTGATCCCTAACTTTTCACTTTAAGGTTAATATGGTCTTTGATATTTTATTTTATCCAATCAATTCGTTAAACTTTATCATATGGTCTAATATGAACCTTAGGCCTACCAGAAGTGCCATGTAGACATGCCATGTCATCATCTTATTAAAAATGGATAGTAAAATGTCTAATTTGTCTATTTGTATGTGATACGAAATAATATAAATAATTTTATATGATTAGATAATTTAATCTAATCTCAGGAATTGATTTAGACACAAAATTGCTTATGTTACATGTATCGATAGACAAATCAATGTATTTGAGTATTTGCAAATGTAAATGTGTGTGACATTTTTCTTTTTTTTCTCTCTTATTATGTTGTATGTAAGGGTATATTAGTCATTTCATGATAAATTTGTGTAAGATGATGAGATGGGATGCCTACGTGGCGTTTCTGGTGGGTCCAAAAACCATAGTAGATTGAAAGATAGAATTTGAGGACCGATTCGAACAAAATGAAATATTAAGTACCATATTGACCTCAGAGCGAAAGTTGAAGGACCAAATAGACTATTCTCCTTTTTTTATATAAAAAAGAATGTTGCTTTAGATAAGCATGTTCGCATGGCCTCATCGTTCCAAATTATTTTTTTGGAAAAAATACAAATTACCTCTCTAAACTATCGTGGTCGACCGAATTACACCTCTAAACTACAAAACTAGACATTCTTCACTCCTAACTATGCAATCTGAACAAATAACCCCTCGGCTCAATCCGCGGTGGTTTTGTCCTACGTGGTAGTCCAGACATGATTTTTTTTTAAAAAAAATAGTGGGGCCCACTTTCTACCTCTCTCTACACCTCTCTCCCTATCCTATCTCTCTTTACCTCTTGCCGCCGCCAGCCATCGCATTAGCAGGAGGGGTGACGCCCATGGCCCCTGTTGGTGTCGGTGGTGGGAAGATCCGGTGGCGGGCGGCAAGAGAGGAGGCGTCGATGGCAGGGAGATCCGGTGGCCGCTGTTGGCGCCGACGATGTGCGCGGGTGCTGCATGAGCCACTCTTCCCCGTCGAGTGGACACTGCCGCCGTCCACGACGTCGCCATCGCAGCCCGCCTCTCCGCCACGCCCACCTTACCGATGCCGCCCGCCTCGCCGACGCTTCCACCTCTCCGCCATGGCCACCGCCGTGCACGCCAACCTCCCCTTCCATCTCCATTTCCTCCCCATCCCCTCCACCTCCCCGTGCACCGACCGCTGGCCCGCCCCCACGTGCCACCGTCACCTTCGCCTCCGCTGCCTCCACCTCCACTGCCGGTCGCACAAGTGCGCCACTGGCGCCTAAGCGAGCCCTGTCTCTCTCGCTGGCCGCTCGTGTTACGTCCTCCTCCGCTCCGCCGACGGCGCCCGAGTGACCTCTGCCTCCGCTGCCACCGTCAGTGCCCGAGAGAGCTCTGCTTCCCCGCCCTCGCTCACTGCCATCCTCGGTCCCCCTCCACCACCTTCAATTGGCTCTGATCCTGCCCGTCGTCATCCTCCACTCCTCTGTTGTCCTTCTCCGTGCCGCCGTGCTAGTGAGCTGGTGAGAGGAGGGAGAAGAGAGAGAGAGAGATTGGGATAGAGAGAGATAGAGAGGGGTGGCACTACAACAAAACCACTGTTATAAGACATTTGACTTAAGACACTCTGTAAGTTGTCTCAACTTTGAGAATTACGATTAAAATAGAGGCGACTTTTGAGACGCTTTACAAGTTGGAGACATAGTTTAAGACACTTTACGATTAGCATAAGACTACATCATTTAGATATGAATATTGAGACGTTTTCAAACGTCTCATTTCTAAGATGTGTTTAGATATGAATACTGAGACGTTTTCAGACGTCTCATTTCTGAGATGAGTTTAGATATGAATTTTGAGACATCTTCATTATATGCATGTCATTGACATCAAACAATACAATTATTATTTACACAGAAAAAAAGAATATTTGAATCATTTAGATTCCATCGGAAAACTACATAATTCCTTATCATCTTCATCACATAATATTATAATTATTTAATCATTTAAATCATGAGGGTTTCCGAGACTAAAATAATATTATAATAATTTTTGAATCATTCAGACTCAATAAAGTCTCTCTCAAATGATTAATATTATAATATTATTTGAATCATTTGGACTGCATTGAAAAACATGAAAAATAATGTACTCGTCCACAGAACGTACAGATTGCGATAATGGGGCACTAACCAAATTAACGTGAATAACTAAGCAGCAAGAATGTGCTTCTTTGTTAGATAGGATAATTACAAACATATACACGTACTTGGTTGATAGAAGTGGGCTGGACCTGCTGCAAACCACTTTATTTGTTGGGCCGACGCTTTGCTTTGTTGGGTGCGTATTTGTGAGAATTCTTGGACGATAGTCTCCGCAACACCCTCCTGAACAATAACCCTCGTGAACAATCCCCTTGGTGGCGGCGACACAACTCACGCCAACAGATTGCGCCTCCGCATCTCGCAGCGCCTCCTCCGTCGTCGGGTGCGGGGTTCCGCCGCCGCTCGCGACCTGAGGGGCAGGGCCTCCACCGGCAGCCGTGGGCATAGGACCTCCTCCGTTCGGCAGTTCACCAACAGGTACAGCTTCTCCGCCGGCTGGCAAGCCCAACGCATACAATCCATTACTCCATCATCACCATTCAGCAGCCATTTGGTCCTTTTCCCTTTTAAGTCTTTATTTGGATTGGGTTTTGTTATGTGTTTTCCCTTGTCATTTAGATCCGATGAATTTTAGAATTAAAATCTTAATCGCTTATCTAGCACTAGTAGTACTGCTAGTGCGGCTATGCTGGTGCAGATTCATCAGGGTCACTAGTGACCAGGCATTGGAGTACATTATCCCTGAGAGGCTTGTGAGCTTGAATGCTTGATAGTACTAACAGATTTTGGTGCATGGAACCTGTCTGGGATGTACGACTTCCAGCCACATCGCTGACTATGAATGCAAACAACCCTTAAACTTATATAGCTATTGAATTGAACTTGATATGCAGAACAAGTATTATTCTAATTATCTCTAGTGATGTGATGTCATTTGGCTAACTCTATTTACATTACATGCTTACATATATTTTATGCATTATGTTTTCGCTCTGTATTTTTTATTTTTTAAAATATATATAGACGTATCCCCGTATCGGTGTTTTTAAGAAAATGACGTATCCTCGTATCCCCGTACCGCGTATCCGTATCCGTATTCGTATCCCCGTATCAAGGTAACATAGATATTACGTAGAACCAAGTTAAGACAACTTACGAGAGAGTGGATCCACGCATCTTATGAAATTTTGCTGTGAAGGTGGTTCTGAATGCTAGATATCAGTTCCCAAAAGATGAAACTACCTTTCACCAGTGGTATTTTAAATTATGGTTATGAAATTTGTTAACTATTAACATAGTTATTTCTATGCGCATCTTAATGTCCTTCTCAAATCACCCAATCAATTTCACATTCTTTTTGGTATAACTCAGAATTGGTCAGTAGATCAATAGCTAGTGTAAGTGTTAAGACTTGATGTTGTGTATTCTCGATTAATTATGTGAAGAAAAAACTAAGAAAAATCATGAATTTTGACTTATAAAATATTGTTCGGATGCAAATTTTGAATATATTCTTGTAGGATTGAAGAAGACAATGTTAATAACAAGGTTGATGTTTCTCTCTTATTACTCCAGCATACCATATGACTGATGATGGATCGAGATTGGATGAGTGAACCAAGATCATCCGCTGCTTATAAAGATCTAGAGAGGTATTTATATATTGTTTTGCTCTATTATATTAACTATACCATGGACATGACATATTTTTTTAATTATATATAGATCATTTGTTCGGATAAAGGCACTTGTGCGAAACAGAGCTTACCCAGAAGGTTCAATTGCTGAAGGTTATATTGCAGAAGAGTGCCTGACATACTGTTCAAGATTTTTAGAAGGAAGTACACGCTTTACAAGAGCACCTAGAAACCCTGAACCTTCAGATAATATAAAAGACATTTATATGTTTGAGAGTGCTGGTGAACCAATTGGCAAGGCCATCACCATAGGACGGTTTGACAACCAGCTTCTAGTGCAAGCACATCGATATGTCTTGCGACATTGTGATGAACTTGAAGACTTTCGCAAGTGCGTAACACAAGCATATTCTATCTTTTTTTTTACAGTCATATATATATTGTTTAATGTATCCAATTGTTGCAGAGAATTTCTTGATGAAGAGAAAAGAAAACTGCCTCATACAACTAACTTGACACAGTCCGACGTCGACAGGTTGATCAATAGAAGCTTTGCTGATTGGTTGGAACAAAAGGTATGATTGTCTATGTATTCATATTTATGCTGTAAGAAGTTATTTAGATAGCCAAGAATAACAATATTCTTATGCAGGTTTTACAAAATGGTGGAGTAGATATCGATGAAAAGACGAGAGCGTTGGCTGCAAAACCGAACAAAACTGTTGTGTGCTACAGTGGCTATATTATTAATGGTTTCAGGTTCCACACTATGATGCGTGAGGCTGGCCGCTCCACTCAAAACAGCGGCGTAGTTAACATTGCTGATGATGGTGTTAATTACTATGGCAGATTATCGGACATCGTAGAATTGTCATATAGAAAATACAAGGTAGTGCTCTTCAGATGTGATTGGTATGACGTCCATCATAAAGCCGGCATCAAAAAGGATGAATTTGATTTCACCCTTGTGAACTTCTCCCGAAAGATACATAGTGGAGATAAATTAGATCATGATCCATTTGTCTTTTCATCACAAGTGGAACAGGTTTTTTATGCTGAAGATGCAAAAGCTAAAGGATGGCACGTCGTAACGAGATTTAAGCCCAGAGATATTTTTGATATGGGTGTGGAACAACAATCTAATGAAACAGAGTAGAGGATGGTTGTGTGCTTTCAGGGATGCAGTAGCAGGAAATTATTTTATCTTGGACAATACTGTGTTAAAGCTTGTTTGTTTACCCATACACTCTGATTTTACTTTTTATTTAGCTGCTTGATTTGATTGCATATATTTGAATGAGCAATGATGTGAGTTTTGACTTATGGTAAATTTGTCGACTGGTTCTGTTTCTGTTCACTGTTGATATTGAAATCATCTAAATTTGTCGACTGGTTTTGTTCTGTTCACTGTTATGTGATGATAGGTTATGGTTGTTCAGTCCTAGTTTCAGGTTTGCCAAATACACGTCTTTATACTTTTAGGGAGTTGCTATGCAAAGAAGCACAAATCTTACGTTTCCTTGTTGGTTAGCACATCAATCTATCAATCAGTAGTTCTAGGGCTCGATTCCACTTCAACGCATCACTCGGTTTTTATTTTATAACTGAAAAACACACTCATATTTTTGCCCTTTTTCTTATTACATCATAACCTGATTTTTTTTCTTTTGAAAAATACATCTATTATGAATTGTATTTTTATGAATTTGAACCCCTTTCCTTGCCTACGTGAATATTTTTTAAAAAATGCTTAAAATGATTTATAATATAAATAATCTACCCATATATATAAGTCAAGCCTAAAATATTTTTAACTACAAACCAAGTCACAATACAATAAATTATAGTTATGTAGTTCTTTCGAAAAAAGATAAATGGTCAAATAAATATTGAAAATCAACGGCATCATTTATTAAAAACCGACAACTTATACATATGTGGGTACATTAGGGATAATTTTATGAATTATCGTCCAGCCAACATATGCAAATTAAAATAAAAAAGCTTTTTTAATTGTTAAATCTCCTATAAATACAGACTTTTATTTATTAATTCTAAAAAAAATCGGAGCCAAGTATGCGTAGTACCATATAACATATCACCCATCTCGTATCATATCCCATATTATTTCCTTCGAATCGGATTCAGGAACAGATATTAATTTGTATCTCTAATTCATATATAATAAATATAATAAGGTAATTAAAGTATCAAAAAGATACATCAAGAAAAAATATACAATATTACATATGAGCACGTAAAATAATGGTTAACCAATCTTTTATCATGTTTTTATAATACATGACATACGGGCAAATACATGTCTTCCCCTATCCTAACCCATATTTTTTTAACGAATTCGAGTTCGAACTCGGATAGTATCGGGTATCCCTTTTTTTCATATTCCTCCCATGAGTCTCGGGTCGGGCGGGCGGTTGGGAAATACCCGCCCTATTTCACCCCTACCGACAAGTTAGATCCGCCCCTGACCAATTCCGAATACAAACTATTATTTGCTAATTCCAAAAAAAATCTCAAGCCAACTTATGCAAATCCAGATTAGAGAAAATATATTTTGGAATTATTCATCTGAGATGGACAGGGACTTTAATTTATTAATACTAAAAAATTCTGAAGCAAAGTCATGCAAACCCAGATTAAATAAAAATATATTTTCAGATTGTTAATCTGACATGAATATATTTAAAAATATCTGAGATGAACATACAAAATTATTTACTATTTTTTTAAAAAAAATCTCAAGCAAAGTCATGCAAATCCAGCTCAAAGTAAAAAAAGCAAAAATACAACGAACTTTTGAGCTCGAACAATGTATGTATGTCACAGAAAAACACCTGTTAACCAATAGAGCACAACAAGTATTGAGATTCTCTACACGTATGTTTGTAAAGATACGTGTAGTAGTAGTAGTAGCGTTCCTGTTTTGCCGCCTAAGGCGGATTTCTTTTGGCGGCATATTTTTCGAAGCGTTCGCGGTATATATATCGACTGCCGTTCCTAAATATATTTTGTTTTGCCGCCTAGGCTGATTTTTTTGGCGGCATTTTTTTTTTGGAAAGCTTACTGTATATATATCACGGACCTACTTTTCCACGCCACATCCCTAAACTTCTCCATCTCCATAGTACTCTCCTGTAACAGAATTGGAAAACCCAATCTGGCGACGGCTGCCCGCCGCCGGCACCCGGCGGTGCTGTTCCTCCGTTCTTCCTTGCACACGACGGCTGCCCGCCGCCGGCGCCCGGCAGTGCTGTTCCTCCGTTCTTCCTTGCACACAGGTGGGTCAATTAACCTCTGCTGATTCTTCTTGCTGTTTCTTTGTTGCGCATTGAATCGATCTAGGTTAGTACATCGCCTTCTCTCCTTAATTTCAGTCAATCAACAAGTTAGGCAAATTCAAAATCCCCCCTAGCTTCTCTGTAGTTTGGCCCCCTATTCCCCTCCATCAACAGCAGTTCATCACTGCCATAAGGGTTCGTTTAATCCCTAAGAGAAAGGGGGGTTTGGAGAGGATTGAGGGGGAACGATTCCACACCATAATAGGTGTGGAATAAATCCCTTCCAAATCCTCTCGGTCCACTTGTGAGAGAGGGATTAGCAGAACAAGACCTAAAGGGGTAGGGTTCCACTACCTTCCATTTCCATTTTTCTAATTTCTTGGTTGAAACTCTCAATGGTGGCCGGCAAGTCCTCCTTGGGTCATCGTCTTTGTGGTCGCAATTGTTGCTGCTTGTAGTGTGCCCGATCTGCGAGTATCCTGGTATTGTGTAAATTGGATTTCATCAATGCACAGCTATCGTTATTCTGAAGATCCACCAAGCACAATCTTAATGTATAATTTATAATTCACTAAATTATTCTCATTCCTCTTTAGTATATTACTGTTTGACAGAATAAGGCACATATGCAGATGGAAATTAGATTGTGCAGTGCATTGTATATTATCTATGCCTAATTCTGTAAATGAACAGGCCATAAAAACAATAAAATTGCTTATCATGCATTTCGAATTTCCTATGCAGTTAATTAACTTTCATTATATGCATGTTTTACTTCAGTAAACAATTATGGCGAGGGGGCCAAGACGTCTACGGAAGTTGAACCTAGATGCACAGAGCGCAGGACATGTGCAAGCTGAAGAAGAAAATTTGCTGTACAACTTTGAAGCTCTAGATGAAGCAGATGCACAATTCAATGACGATAATTTGCATCTCGAAGCTCAAGATGCAGGGAATGTACAACCCACAGAAGATAGTGAGCAAGACCTTTCAGAGAATGATGACATAATCACGGAGTTGCCTCTTGCAGCCAAAAGACCAATTAATATAATCTGTAAGTTTCATATTTTCTTCCTATATATGTCTAAATATATGATTTTTCCTATCACCCATAGCTGAACTGTTCCTAAATGTAGGGCCAAATGGGGAGGTACGACAGGTTCTAGGAAATTTTAATGTAAAAAACTTGGACCAACTGAAGCAAGGAAAGGTAATTGTAGAGACGGATGAACATGGTATTCCAAATGATAGATCAGGTTCTGTTCTAGGCTCGTATCTTGGTAAGCTTGCACAGAATTCAACATTTGCACCATTGGACATTCCAAAATGGGACCATGACTTATTTGTGGGACCAAAGGAGAGCATAGTCGCTGACGTGGAGGTGAATTTTTAATTAATGTAAACAAATATTATCATGCTTATTTCAGATCTAACTTTTAGTTATTCATGGTAAAGATGAAATTTGTGTACCCTTCTGAGACGAAGCAGCTTACAAGAGGCTGGATTCTAATGAAAGCTGATAAAGGGTGGAGATCTTACAAAAGCCGTTTGAAGGGAAGATACTTTAATCCTGATGTGAGGACTCTAAACGATATATTAAAATATGTCCCAAAAGGTGTCAATGGATATCAATGGCGTGGTCTTGTTAAAATATGGTGTCAGGATAAACACAAGGTGACCTCTCCATTTTAATGCTAGACATACAGTCCAAATTTTGTTTCCTAATCATCTGTATTTAGTACAGCTTCTCTATTTTCAGAAATTATGTGAGAAAAACTCTGAAAGCGCAAAACAGCAGAGGAATCCACATACAACTGGTAGAAAAAGCCATGCTAGGCTTTGTAAAGAGATGGTGGTAATTATTTTGGACTTAAATGTTATTGTTACATATCTATAGCTTTCTAATGCTAAATTTGATCTATCTTCTGATTCTTTGTTGCCTAGGAAGCAAAAGTTAAAGGGAAGGTCCATGACATTGACGTATGGGATGAAGCACATAAGAAAAAGGATGAGCGCATTAAGGCAGTAGTGGTAAATTTCTTTCCTTGTTAGTTGTTATCACAAATGTAGTTTGGTTCATTTATGATAAACTAATTCATGCATGTTTAATTATGTAGGAATCGGCTTACCATGAATTAGCTAAAAAGAAATCTACTAGTTGCAGTGGTCTTTCATCCAAAGATTATGATGAAGTTTTTCGACGTGTAGTTGGAAAAGAGACAAAACTTCGAGGGTACTACGATCATAAGAATTGGAGCCAAATAAGGGTTTCTCAGGGACTAGATGTTGTTGGACAATCTGAGGAATATGCAATGCTTAAGTTACAAATGAATGCAATGGAAAATAAAATAGAGGCTATGAGTGTTGATATGACTCTGATGCGTGCCTTCATAGAACAAAAATTCCCTGGAGAGGATTGGAGAAATATTGTGGTTGCAGAACAAAATAAAGAAGTAAGTGTCACTGTACACCATCTTCCCCTGTCTAAAGATCAATTAACGAATACACTATGTGATCAGTACATATGCATGGATTATGCTTTTTTTGCAGGTTGATATTTCTGAACAAGTTGGTAATGATATCCAACATGAATCAAATGTTGAAGAATCATGTGAACATGTACATTCTACACCAGATAATGTGCAGGTGGTACAATATTTACTTGATAATTTTTAAATTGATGCTTTTGTAAGTCTTTATAATGTTGTTTTTCATAAGTTGCAGCAGAAGCATTTAATCAGTTATATTCCTGCTAAAAATGGTTGCCACAAACCATCTGTACCACATGAACACATGATTGACAAGGTAACTTATGCAAATCTCACTATGCTCACCATATGCATTTTTTACATTATATATATAATTAAATTGGCCTTCAATTGTAGCAATCAAGCATTGGAAGCTTTGCTAGAAGGTCTGAAGCTAGTCAGAGATACATGGAATCAACTATGGCACATGACCATGGAACTGATAAGGTATACAAACTAAGCATGCACAAAGATTGAAAAGATTGATACAAGTAGAAGGTCTGAGTTATTTTTTGGTTACAGGTTGATATGTTTGATCAAGTTGACATTGACTGTACAAATGAATTTGATAATAACTTTGATAATTCATTTGCCAATACCAATGCTAAGTCAAATCATGTGCAGGTGCGGTGTTTACTTGAAAAGTTTTAATTGAGGCTTTCACAATTTCTAAATATTGACATTTATCATAAGTTGCAGCAAGTACATTCTATTAGTTCTGCTAATGGCAATGGTCGTCGTTTCAATCCATCTATACCATATGAACGCACAAATGCTAAGGTGACTTAGGAAAATCTCACTACATAATGAGTTCTGCTTGATTTAAACAACAATACCTAATTTTAATGAATTTCAATTACAGCAACTAAGTGGGGAAAGCTTAGGCAAAAGGTCCATAACAAGTCAAATGAATGTGGAATCAATGGTGCCACGTGAGAATGTGACCAATGAGGTATATACAACTAAGCACGCAAATATCAATTAGTAAACTTATTTGGCAATACTGTGATTTGTTTGATTTTTTATTCAGGCTTATGTTTCTGAACAAGATGGTACTGATATTATGAATGGGTTTGTTCACAACCGTGAGGAACCACATGCCAATGAGAATGCTATACCAAATAATGTGCGGGTTCTGGAATGTCTACTTTAAAAATGTTGAATCAAAGTTTGCCAATGTCTTAATTCTATCATTTATTATTACAGCAATTATGTTCTGTTAGTTCAACTAGAGCTAAAGAGAATTGTTCTACTAAAGCTTTGCCATATGACCACATAACTGCAAAGGTGTGTTACAGAAATCTTACTCTATTACTGAAACATGTGATTGTTACAACATTTCACAAAGTTGACTTTCAATTGTAGCAATCAAGCATTAAAAGCTCTGTCAAAAGGACTAGAACTAACTGTGTGGATTCAATTTTACCACCTGATAAAGCCAAACAGGTTAGATTCAAACTATTATGCTCTTTTAGTTCTAGTATTAATGCTGATCAAGCCTGCTCATCCACTTTTGATTCTTTAAAATTTTTAACACAGGGGCCTCAGAGAAAGGGAGTATTAGAGAATACTTCATCTAAATCAGTATGTGGTTTCCATTGTTTATGATAAAATAAATATTCATATGCTCATGAATGACAATGCTCCTAGTTTTGCGAATGACAATATTGTGTTTCTCAAAATGATAGGATCAAAGGGTGGTGTTCTTGTTTTCATTGAATCCAGTATACAAAGGCAAAGTAGTGGCCAAGGGAAATTTAGTGACTACAGATAGCACATATGTGGTTGGAGGAAATATGCTTGGAAATGAATATTATGGTGTGGCTGTTCATAGTGTTACAAATATTGGTGATGAGAGACTGCCAAGACCATCTGAAAACTGTACTACATTAAGAGAGGCAATTGGTTATGTCATTCCTTGGCCTCGTCCCTATGTAATATTAATCATTTCAACTCCTATTATAATTTGTCACGTTGCATTTTTTTTTTGCATATATCTCGTTACTAATATAATATCTTGACCTTTCAGGTAAGAAAGCGTAGGGATACAAGTTCTGCCCAGTAGCAAGGCCCTTTCATACGAGTGCTCTGCTCATAACCAGAATTTTGCTGTTATTATTGGTCTGACTATAGGATAATGAATGGAGGACTGAAGAAAAGAAAGAGTGGAAGCCCTGATATTCAACTTTCCTTTTGAAGAAATATTATAGATTTCCTTCTAGCAGTTTAGAAAAACACGCACAACAAGCTGTAGGATGTTATATATGTGTGTGTCTATTGCACTTTAGTTTTCCAGTTAGTCGTATATGTCTATTTAAAATTACATGGATGTTTTATTTAGTTGTAAACTCCTTGCTCTCATACAAGCATGTACAGCCTTTCCCCTTTTAATATATTATATGTTCTTGTATATGGTCGGGAATATGGTACTGCCTGCCCATGTAATTTTTTACATGCACATGTATATAGACTCAATTAATATATGATTAATTTAATGTGCATCCATATATATAATTATATACAATACGTACTCGTTACAATATACTAAATGTATAAAATACATACTACGCTATATCTAAAATACTGCCACCGAGACGCGACAGAACGTCTTAATTAATGTGCTAAAATACTACTACTGAGACGCAACAGAACGTCTTAATGGATGCGTCTATGGACGTTGTACATTGTTTTTTAAAAGCGTCTCTATGCCTATAGAGGTGATATTCCACGTCTCTAACAACGTCTTAAAATAAATTAGGTACGCTTTAGGAAATGTCTCTATTTTTTTGAGACGGTCCAAACGAAGACGTTCCTATGACACTTTATAAAAGCGCCTCGCTTGTTTGCGGAGACGAAACAAAACGTCTCTATATTACAAATAAAATGTCTTCTTTGGGGGGTTTTGTTGTAGTGTGGGGAACTGACAGATGGGCCTACCGATTTTTTTTATTAAAAGAATTGCTGGCTGGACTGCTATGTACGATCAAAACCACCACGGATTAGGGGGGTTAGTTGTTCAGTTTGCAAGTTGGGGGGTGAAGAATGTCTTGTTTTTGTGGTTCGGGTGTAATTCGGTCAACTGCGATAGTTTAGGGGATAATTAGTATTTTTTTTCTTTTTTAATACGTAAGAGAATTACATACCATCTTACTAAGAGAATAATATAATGAGAAGGGAACAGTGCCCACCAACCCGAACATAGGTTGGAGTCTGTACAACGCACGTAAAAATGAAAAAGTCATCTTCTAGAGACTATCAACCTATCAAGAAACTCCTTAAGCCTAGACGATCCGGTTAACGATCACATGATACACTCATCGTTCAAAATTATTACTTCAAACATGACCAAAAGTCGCGACATTATGATTGGTAATATTATTTTCATTTCTAAAAGTCGATTAATTTAGAAATGTGAGTTTTGTAATGAGAAAATCCCGGCACAATCTGACTAGCCGATCGAAGAAAATATTTAAGTGTCTATTGCTCACATGCATCACACCATACTTCAACTAATCTCCAAATATTCCATTGATACAAAATGACCATGACCTGCACCCTATCATACGCCGTTGAACCGACGACTATATACGAGTCAACAGTGTGCATCACACTGAGAATTGAGAAATTTCCACACTGTATCCCTCCCCCTAAAAGACAACATGCCCCAATACCATTTTTTTTAAAGTTAAATTTTGCCTTTGATGGTAGGTGAATAAGTTATTTCCTCCGTTCGAGAATATAAGAGATTTTCTCTATGTTAAGTAAAATTCTTATATTGTTCAACGGAGGTAGTAAATTGCTAGCTCCTCTACAATAACGTCCGTATGAACCTAGGCTAAAATGGTGAAACAATCAATACTAGTTGATGTGGCGCTAACGCAAGTAGCACAACTTTTTTTAATTGAAATATGCTATAGCATTTCCCATTTGGTATTTATTTTTAATAGACTCACGCTAGAATAACTTAAACAGTGGTGCAGTCCCCTATATATGCTCTTTCATTGGCGACTTTGCATATCATTGGGAACATGACATGGCCATTACCAAGCTAAATAAAAAGGACTCGAATATATTCTTGCTTGCTTTAATCAAGCAAAGGACCTTCACTTTGCCCTGCTCAAGTTACACGAGTTTTTGCATCAAGTTAATCATCTAGCTTGTCCTGTTGGCCAATCTGTGGCCGTTTATACCGAACAATTTGCAAGGACATTGGCGTATTCATGCAAAGTTTGAGTAAATGATTACATCGAAAGAATCCGTTCACATTAAAACCGTATCAATCTTAATGTATATATATACTGAAAAACTCTTACTAATTTCACTACGATGTAACCATTTTTGTTGCTAAAATAAAACGCATAACATAATTTAGGCTCATGTGAGTAACAACTAACAAATATCCGGGACCCAACGATACACTTTTTTTTTAAAAAAAAGAGAACTATTTTGTAACTTTTAAATAGTTCAAAAGCTATAATATTATTACAGCATGGCAAATCCATATAAGTTGTTATGCCAAGATGCCAGTAAATAATACAGTTTCTCGGAGGTATAAAAGGGTAGGAAATACATGTGTTCATTCATATGGATAAGTTGTGCACGTGCAAAAATAGACTGTTTCCCTTAAAAATATATTATAACTTTATATTTAGAAATTTGTTGAGGTGGTTAAAAAAGGATAAAGTTATACAAAACCATAGGTATTATGACATGTAACACATAATCTCAGATATTATGGTTTTTATAGTATGACGAAACCCTATCCATATGTATTTTGAATGCAAATTTACTTAAAATTAAAAAAACATAAAGTGTATATGAAAATCTCAATAATTAAGTTCTTGATTAACATTGATATTACTTTCAAAGATTCGGTTAAGATATCCTGAAATTTATCATTCATAAAGGTGGAGTTTATGAAACATCGAGACCACAAAACCTGTGGTTACATGTCACACGTCATAATACATTTGGTTTTCTGCGACTTTACCTTAAAATATAAGTTTGTTTTAAAAAAATCACTCTTAATTTTTTTTAAAAAAATCCAATATATATAGGGCACTAAGGCTTTGCAGCCGAATGACCCCAAGTGAGTAACCAGCTGAGCTGAGCGACCAAGAACTCGGGACGACTCAGGAGTCGGAGGAGACAATCTCACTCTCTCCCTCTCCCCTCTCCTCTCCCAAAATCCACGCCGAGCCCGCCAAATCCTCCCCCCGGTGCGACTCGCCACGGATCGCGCGCCGCCGGCAATGGGGGCCGCCGCCTGCGACGCCGCCGTCGAGGAGCTCACTCGCCTCCTGGACCAAGGTGCGCCACCGCCGCCGCCTGGCTTTGCAGTTCCTTCTTTTTTTAGAAAAAAAGGAAAATTGGAATTGGTGGATTTTTCGTATGCGTTTCGTTGGTGGTAATCAATGTGTGCTTGGGTTCTTGCAGTCGAGGAGCCGCTGAAGCAGACGTTCCAGGTACGTATTGGGTCTTTTGGTGTGATCTTTAGCCTGTTGATTCATGGCTTTCGTGTCAGGTCTGATCTTTTTTTATGCTGTACAGTTTGATCAGAGAGATTCAGGCCATTGCTTAGTTCATTTCGATAGTTTGCAGAAACTGAATTTGTTTTAGATGTACCAAGTTTTCTCCATTTTTTATGATTTATAAATTATAAACTTACAGTAAGCTTGGATGATGTCTCGATCGTAATCAGTACTAGGAGAATTTTGCGTCTGGGGAACAATAATGGATCTATGAACAACATTGAAGGTTGGGAAAGTTGGAGCTAAGGTTGTTAGGATGAAAGGTGTTCTGCTGTTCTCTTCTTTAGGCCACATATTTGGGACTTTTTTTAGGGTAATTTTTAGTGGTTTTACAATTGGGCCGAGCAACGCGTGTTTTGTGTTGCTTTCCACAACGGATGGTCCCAAGGGATTGTTCTGTAAAAGTCCACCAAATCAGCTAGTGGACAAGAGTGGTTCTTGGCACTTGAGCACCCTGATATATTTTTTAGCTTGCTCTCATTGGGGGAATTGAGAGGTTTGTTGGTAATAATATAGTGTTCATTTGTACCTTTTTCCTTGGGCTTCGGCCGTTACGCATTCTTCTTGTAGCTCTTCCAAGTTCTTTGGCATCATTTCATCGTCCTTTTGCTCTTGGTTTTGTTAATATGATGCACTGGAAAACTGCAGACTCAAGTTGAAAGCACACGCCGATACACATCCCACTTGTAGACTGCTTTATGTGTTTTTGGTTAATGTGATGCTCTTTAGAAGTAAGGTTTATGGACATGCACTGGGTGCTGAGTAGGACATGCCTGCTTGTTTGGAGCAGAATCCCATGGCTAGTGTGAGACTACTAGTGTCCTCGCAAAAAAAAAAGGAAAAAAAAGAAAAGAAAAGAGAACCAATGGCTAGTGTAGTGGCAATCAAAATGGGGTGCTACTCGCATCAGAATTGTTGTGTCACTGTTATGGTAGTGTTGGGCAAAGTATTGGAAAATGAACAAGCATTTTTTACTTGAATGCTACAGTATTAAGAGGCCAAATGATTCAACTCCGGTGGATATTCCTTTTTTTTTCTGTTTGTTTTAATTTCTTTTAGAGAATATATTTGTCGGTCATCTAAACAACAAATTTCTGTGCATTCCTTCCATTATTTTTGGAATGGAGAGCTTCTAGATGATCTTTATTGCATATTATCTATTTTTGAAAGTTTTGTATGATAAAGGTATTGATTCCTTCTTTAAATAATAAAACCTGATTCTAAGGGCTCAGATTCTATGATGGATAAAGGAATAAAAAGCAACTCAAGATAAGCATATACCTAGAACTAATTCAGCTATTTTTGAAAGCTGAAACAGAGTGTTGCTATGGTCAAACTAGTATCTGATCCTACTTGGCTACCACAAATCATTTTTGGTACATTTCAGCCATTTTAGATATCAAAATTATTTGTTACTATTAGAGATTGTAAAGTATCATGTGCTGCCTAAGAAGATTGCCTCGTAGTTCTCAACTCTCAAGTATATCATTCCTTTTTCAGAATGTGCACCAGGGCTATCCAACAGACACACTAGTGCGCTTCCTAAAAGCTAGAGAGTGGCATGTTTCAAAGGCTTGTGATATGGTAATATTTTACTTGTTTAAATTGTACTTCCTCCGTTTCATATTATAAGACTTTCTAGCATTGCCAACATTCATATATATGTTAATGAATCTAGATATATATGTGTGCCTAGATTCATTAACATCTATATGAATGTGGGTAATGCTAGAAAGTCTTATAACCTGAAACGGAGGTAGTAGTTGTTTACTTGTTTCCCATTTGATGAATGATGAACAAAAAATGATTCTTGGATTGCTTCATTACTTAAAGATATTTTGTTTTTGCTAGCTTGTGGATTCCTTGAATTGGAGGATACAAAATGAAATTGATAGTATACTGGAGGTGAGCAATCCTTCTACTAGAACAAGCTTGGTTATTGACTGTGTAGTGTAAAGCCTAATCTCCCAACGAATGTGGCGACCTTCCCCCTCCTGTATCTTGTCCCCTTCGTGTTTTTGATTTTTCGGCCCGCTCTGTAAATACTTTTATTCCTTCTTAATACAAAGATGCGCCCCTCGCGTATTCCCAAAAAACTGTGTAGTGTAAATATATTCTTGGGGACAGTTTGGTTTTTTGGTAACTTTGTATAGTTTATGTTTTGTTATTTTTGATCATCTTGATCTCTTGAACAATTGCAGAAACCTATAATTCCTGTAGATTTATATAGATCAATACGTGAGACACAGCTTGTTGGATTATCAGGATACTCAAAGGAGGTACAGATATCTTAAGCTAGTTATTGTTTTCAATTTGTTCCCTTATTAATACTACACTTTTCATATATGTAGGATCTGCTGTTGAATTAGGATGTGTTGATTAACCTGCAATTTTGTTCATAGATTTAATCGGATGCAGCTATTCCTTTGCTTTTATGTGTGTAATAGTTTTTTTTTACATTGGCTTTTGAAGTTCTGATACTCCATATTCTTGAACAATACATTTCTGATGGATAAAATAAGGTGTGTGTGTATATATATATATATATATATATATATATATATATCTTTGTTACACTGAAAAAGGTTATGTGGCCTTGACCAGTTTTGAACTTTACTTGATTCGAATTATTCAGGAGAATGATATCATATGACTTGACATTGCTATTTTGAAACTCTTCACTAGGAAGATGTTTATGGAAGTAAGGTGTTGCCTACTGTAGGAGTAAGATGTATTAGTGATTAGTGGATGGTATCTATGTAAAGTAGATAACACATGTACCAACCATTTCAAGTTTTTAATACTTCCCGTCAGTCCTTTTATTTTTCCAGGGCATCCCAGTATTTGCCATTGGTGTTGGACAGAGTACATATGACAAAGCTTCGGTAATTGCTCATATACTTCTTATTGCTTTCTGCCCTGTAGTTAATGAAATACAGACTTATGAGTTCCTATAGCTTGTCAGATTTCATCCTTGAAATGTCTTTCTAGTGAATTGATAAGTAGATCGCACCTCATACCTTTCTCTCTAAGTACATTATTAATGATCACGCGTTCATTTACAGGTTCATTACTATGTGCAATCTCATATTCAAATCAATGAGTACCGTGACCGTATTGTTTTGGTGAGTGCACTACTAATATTTCTTGCTCAATTAATAGATTGTTTATATGAGTTTTCTTCACACGTATATTTGCTTTCTTATGTTCCATCTAGCCTATGGCATCAAAGAAGTTTGGGCGGCCTATTAGCACCTGTATAAAGGTTCTAGATATGACTGGATTGAAATTGTCAGCACTCAACCAAATGAAGGTACTGCATACATGGACGTGGCATATTCAAATGTTTAATTTCTGTATAAGATCTGCATATCATGAACAATTATCCATTATTTGTGCTGCTAGTGATTAGATACCATTGATGGATGACAGATTTTGACTGCAATATCTACTGTTGACGATCTGAATTACCCTGAAAAGGCAGAGACCTATTATATAGTTAATGCTCCATATATATTCTCGGCATGTTGGAAGGTACAGTACCTAATATTATTTTCCCTAGTTTTTCATTAGTTCTTTATTTTGAAACATAAAACAGTTCATTTGGTTTCGCTACTAGGTTGTGAAGCCTCTCTTGCAAGAGAGGACACGGAAGAAGGTTCACGTTTTGCATGGTTGTGGGAGAGATGAGCTTCTAAAGGTAAGATTGCTTGCAATTACTAATATTCTTTTCAAATTGCTATAGTTATGTTTACTCTGGTAATTCATTGCTGGGCATTATATTATCGCATTCCTATTTAAAAGTCACTCACTTAGGAGAACCTTTTGTTCCATGGAACTTGATCATAATATTCCTATCATTTTATTCTTTTGCATTCGCAATACTATGATGATCAACGCACGCATTTCTGTCAAAACTACGCAGATTATGGACCACTCCTCCCTTCCCCATTTCTGTCAGCGGGAAGGCTCAGGATCATCTAAAAATTCGTCGAACGACGTCAACAATTGCTTCTCTCTCGATCATCCTTTCCACCAAGAGCTCTACCACTACATTGACGAGCAGGCATTGAACCAGGAGCTCATCAAGCAGGGCTCCCTGCATGTGAATATCCCTGACCAAGATCCTGAGGATGCCAAGATCGTCGAGGTCATCGAAGCCGAGTTCCATAAGCTCGGCGAGCAGAACGGTTCTGTCAATGGCGAACACAAAGAATGAACAGGTGGTCGTTGAAGATGATCAGCTGCCATAGCTTACCTACAACACCTTTGGTGGTTTGCTTCTGACGATTCTTTTCTGTGTCGCTGTGTTGGCATGGCCACCCCTGTTGTTTTCCTGGGCTATAGGTGTTACAGATTTACAATAGCACATTCCTGCAGTTGTCCATGATGCAAACTGAGGAAAGAACTTGGTCACGGTATACCAGTTGAAATAGTCAGACATAATCACCTGTAAACTTGCAATGCACTATCCAATATCTCTATATATGTATGCTAATCTTATCTGATACCAGGGAAATCATATCTGAATTCTGAAATCATCTTCAGAGAAAATGTAGTACTGAGTCGGTAACAAACGATACATTACCAGTTCACTATCAATCTGTCACCTAAATTCTCATATGATTTTGTCTGGTTCTCTGCTAGAAACTTGTGGTATTTATATATTTTTAAGCTCAGATGGAATGGATAGTGTTTGTACAATTACACATCAGTAGGTAGCATTTAATCTCGATTACATCAAAAAAATGACATGGTTTGATGCCCAACCAACTGCATTGGCCATTAATGGCTGGGCCTAAAATGCAAAGCTACTGTGACAAGAGAGCCTTGTGGCAGCTGCAGCACCGGCTCCCCGGCGCCACGGCGGCGCCGCCGTCGACGGTGTTCTTGCCGTCCAGGTACCTGCCGGCGAGCATGTCGAAGAGGAGGCCGGCGCCGACGCCGACGGCGAGGTCGATGGTGTAGTGGCCCCTGCAGGCGAGCAGCCTGACGCCCTGGAGCAGGTTGAGCGCGTCGTAGAGGCGCGCCATGCCGCGGCGCCCCGCGCGGCGCATGTCCTCGGCGGCGATCACCGCGCCGGCGACGTGGCCGGAGAAGAAGAGGAAGAAGGAGACGTTGCCGACGGGGAAGTCCATGCCGGAGCCCAGGAACTCGGCCGGCAGCGGCAGCTGCGTGGCGCAGCCGAGCGCGCCGCGGCAGGTGAACATCATCATCGCCGCCACGGCGGCGCGCGGCCGGCCCTCGCCGAGGATCGCCCACAGGATGTACGCCGCCTGCATCGCCACGAACACCTGCATCGCATCGCATGCATGCAGACATTGGCGGCATTGTTTAGTTCCAAACTTTTTCTTCAAATTTCCAAATTTTCTATCATATAAAAATTTTCTTATACACATAAACTTCCAACTTTTCCATCACATCATTTCAATTTTAACCAAACTTCTAATTTTGGCGTGAACTAAACGCACCCAGGTCAGGTCACGTCACGTCACATTCATCCCAGATTCTGCTGCTACTACCAGTCGTGGCCAAGGGGACCAGGTTGCCAGCTAGAGAGATGCAGAATCTTATCACGAAATCCATGGATATCGTGAACGCGTGATGCAGCCATTGGAAGCCTTTATCGCAAAAACATTGGGCTTTTCTCCAACGATTGGTTTTTCCCCTACCAGATTTGCCTTTTTCTTCTGGGAAAAGTTTGAGATTTTCATCAGACTGTTTCTTCTTCATTCAAAGATTGGGTTTTTCTTCTGGGAAAAGATTGTGGTTTTCATCAAAGATTGTTTCTTTTTTTCCTTCAAAGATTGTGTTCTTCTCCTGGGAAAAGATTGTGGTTTTCATCAAAGATTGTTTCTTTTCTCCTACAAAGACTTGGTTTTTCTTCTGGGAAAACATTGTGATTTTCGTCAAAGATTGTTCTTTTCTCCTTCACAAAGATTGGGTTTTTCTTCTGGGAAAAGGCTGGGGTTGTGCTGGTGTGTGGATTTTGGTGGCGTTGGTGCAGCGGCGCCATCAGTTTCGCGTGTGCTCGTCGCTGTCCACCAGCTTCGTCCTGCTACGTGCCTAACTGGTCCTAAAAACTTGTGGAGTACAAGAACTACGGATATGACGAGAACGGTGCATAGCCAGCTTTGATTTCTTCTCAAGGATTGGCAGTTTCTAATAAGGTGGTAATTAACCTAGCAAAATTCTTTTAAGGTCTATTCGGATTTGAGGAATTTCACGGGAATTTTGGAGGAACTCAAGTGTACCCTATGAAAATCATATAAAACTCTCGCGTTTTGAAGGAACCTCTACTGAATAGAAGAATGCATGATGCTTTGGAGTTTGTTGGTACAAACCAGTATCCTGCTTGGGCCAGGTAAATGTATGACAAACCTAGCTAATGTACCTTTCTACATGACAGAATAATTATGTTAACTGTAAATATTACTACTAGTCACATTTGCCTAGTTTGTGTTTTCTGAAACCATACTGCTAGAGACAAAATTTTTGGTTGGACGACAAACTTTGCCATAGCCAACCAATCCAAGCATCGTATGCCACACAAAATGCAAACTAATAAGTGTAGCAAAGTTTGGCTAGAAACCGACTTTAGCACAAGTACTGCATAATTTCAAGGGCCTCATTAAATACAGCTTGCCAAACAGTATCACCCAACTAACTGATTAGCCCCTGTATTTTTTTTCAGCTCCTTCACCTGATTATTATGGTAGGTTTTTTCTTCAGCTCCTTTAAAATTATGTTTTTCCTCAAAACCTACATTTGCTTACATCCTTGTTTTAATCTATTTGTGCTAAGTTTTGTATCAAAATGATTAATCTGTATGTATAACTGTGCAGATTACTCACTATACTTAACCTGATCAAATAATAATCTATTTCTAACCGGCCTAATTAATCGGCTTAATAAACCATTGGTACTGTCTAAAGTTTGGCGTGTCAAATTGACCGTAGCTTTACGGCATTGCGCGTAATGACAGCTATTAGTGCTGGCAAGGACAGATCCAAGTGAAAAACAAAAAAAAAAAGAAATAAAAGAAAAGAAAAGAAAATTTACTGCAATGTGCAGAGGAGCAGCAGGTTCATTGAATCTGGATTGGTACTCACCGTGTTGAGCGCGGCGAGGAGCGAGTTGAGCCATGGGCGGGCGGCGATCCCGGCGTGGAGCGCGGCGGTGGCGGCGAAGCCGAGGTCGACCGGCGGCGCGGCGGGCGGCACCATGGGGATGGTGTACTCCACGGCCATGAACAGCAGCAGCCCGCACCCGAACGCCGCCGCCGCCGGGTGCCGCCGCAGGACCCCCGCCACCCCCGCCGCCGAGCACCACTCCGGCCTCCTCCACCCACCCACCTCGCCGCCGCCGCCGACGCCGCCGCCTTCCCTCTCCATCGCGCCACCAGCTGCTCTGTCCGGCATCGGCGCCGGGTGGACGACCTTGTCGGCGCGCCGCCGCGCGCCGCCGTTCGCGGGCAGCACCACGACGGCCTCGGCGTTGCCCATGGAGGATGCGGTGTTGGCCGTGAGGCTGGGCGGCGGCGGCGGCGGCATGGGCGGGGGTGGGCGAGTGGCTGGGCGCGCAGCGAGCAGGTGGAGGTGGCGCCGGTGGACGCGGGGGGCGGTCGGTGGTGGCGCGCGGCTTGGCGGGGCGGGTGATGCGGGGGATTTTTTTTTTTCTGGTGATTTTGACGGGTTTTTTGTTTGGTTTTATAAGTGAATTTTTTTTGGTGGTGGGGACGCGGCGGAGATCTCAAGGGTAGGAAAGGAGAGGAAAGAAAGGAGGCGGCGGTGGAGTTAATGTTGTACGGAAGGCGGTCATCTGCTAGGGTTAACGGGGAAAAAGAATATGTGATGGAAACTATTCATGTAAAAAGTCTGAAAACTACCGCTAAATAAAAAAAATAAAAAAGATGTATAAAATTTGTCCGTGTTATTGTAAGTAAAATATTTACTCACAGATTTACTTATAAGTAATAATTTTACTCATGATGACGTGGACGAATATCAAAAATTTAAATTTTTGATCCAACGGTAGTTTTCGAGTTTTCATTATATAAGGTTTGCATTACTTTTTTTTTTGCTAACTGTTAGGTTGGCAAATAAAAGTACTTCCTCCCTTCATTGTTTTAGGAGGATCAAATCTTATCCTCAGATTGTAACATCTTGTAATAGAGATAGTACAGTACCTTGGCCCTAAAATAACTTATAGAGTCTAATCATTTAAATTCAAATTAGCATGAGGAAAACAAATTATTCATTATTAACAAGAAAGTTTGATTGGTTGGTGGATAAATAAAAGATGTTAAAGATAATATTTATATAACCATCGTTTTACGAAAGATATTTGAAAGATGAATCCGTTGCTAATGCCCTGTTTAGATCCCATCAAAAAAACTTTACACCCTGTCACATGGAACGTTTAAACACTTTTATAAAGTATTAAATATAGGCTAAAAAATAACTAATTGCATAGATTGAGACTAATTTACGAGACGAATCTTTTAAACCTAATTGCTACAATATTTGATAATGTGGTGCTACAGTAAACTCTTACTAATGATAGATTAATTAGGCTTAATAAATTCATCTCGCAGTTTATTAACGGATTCAGTAATTATTTTTTTATTAGTACCCGAACACTCCATGCGATGCCTTATATAATACCCGATGTGACACGCGCGAAACTTTACACCCCTGATCTAAACACCCCCTAAATTAATAAATATGCTTACAGTTCTGACTAATTGTCAATCAAAATCTACAAAGTTTGACTTTTCAAAATATTATACATCCTATAATATCATTTTTTTAAGAACATAGGGGGTACTGTAATTGGTTTATGTTTGTCCGGGAGTAACTAATTGAACTCCCTAATCCCATTATCAATGACCTGTCGATTAAAAGTTAGGAGAACGAGGAGAAGACGTCGTGACCACTGACCATCACCGCGGACAGTAGTGTGTACCGCGTGCGCTGGTCTGGCACGCACAAGCGAAATCTGGTGTCCCCATTGCATCTCTGCTACTATCTCGCGCCGACCATCCAAACACCGGCAGTTTCCCACTTTTGCTGTACAAATCCAGGTGAAATTTCCAGCACAATGTTACCACTTTCTTGCTCAGTTGGCCGTCGGCCCTACAGTATGCCTGATTCTAAATTTGGATTTTTTTTTTGTTTGCAGTTTTTCAAGCTTTTAAACGGCACTAAATCCAGCTGTATGTTTCAGAAAATATTTTACTCTGTTCGTCCTAAAACATAGTATTAGCTTTTGTCGAGATACATATATACCTAAAATTTTGTTATATTTGAGACTAACAGAGTATATAAAAGTTTTCTTTAGTTTTCTAAAGCAACTTTTTATTAGTTAATTTATTCACCTATACCCTCATATAGCTTTTTTAAAAAATAGATAATCCATAAATTTTTCATATATCTCAAACAAGACTATAGCTGAGGGAACAAATGCAATGTTTTTTTTTATGCACTAAAGAGACTTGTGATGATTTGGGTGTGTTTTATGTTACATGTTTTCAACTCGTAATATCTCGTTTTCCATGCGCACACTTATCAAATTGTTAAATGATATATTTATTTTTTTAATAAAATATATAAGAAAGTTTCTTTAAAAATCATATTATTTATAAGATAATTTATAGGTAATACTCAATTAATAATGCGCAAATGAGCCACTCGTTTTACGTGCGAGAGAGAAGTTCCCAACCTTCTCTGTTGAACACACTCTACAAGTGTCCGTGAAAATTACTAGGAGTGCTTAATAGTGTAATTGCTAGGAGTGTGTCGTTTGAATCCCAAGGTTTCATTTATATATTTTTTTCTGATTATTATTTGATAACCATGTTCCTTCTTGGTTGTAAAATAAGTACTAATTATGGCCAGCTGCTGGTAGGATAGGTCGGTTTGTTTCAGTTTGAGGTCGATCAGGGCGACGCCGACGTGATATCCAGATGGTCCAAGCAAATGCTTGGTCGCAACGGGGGAAAACCGAACGGCTGTGGCACTCCACTCCACTCACTTGAGCACGAAATGGCGCCACGCTTGGGGCGTGTCTCTCACGCAGTCACGCCTTCTGCCGCCTGTCGATCAAAGGAAGGGTGTCTAACACACAAATCATGCCCAAGATTGGCAATCATCAGGGCAGCTAATTAGTAAGTAAAAGTTGGTGTCTTCTGTTAATTAATTGATTGATTTGATAGCATAGGTGAACATCTAAATGTTGCAGTTGGGGGTGATGGCAAAGGTCATTGTAAAATTTCAGTTGGGAGGGAACAATGATGCTAATATGCTGGGTTTAAAATTCCAGAACAGTCCTATCGAACCTTCCTTCCGATATGATAATATTTCGGTCAAATTTTTTTAAAAAATATTATTTTGTGAATTTGGCATATTTTGTTTAAATTTGACCTATTTTTGTTCAAAAATCAAATAATTTCGCATTAAAATTTCCGAAATTTCGGTATATCGGTACCCTCCGATACAAATACCGAAAGCGAAAGATTAAACCCTGCTAATATGTGCAAAATTTTACCTAAAGCCTAGTGGTTGTTTTCTGATTACATGAAAAACATATACGCCCGTTACTGATACAAATCCACAGGCTTAAGAAAATCGAGACTAGCAGTAAATCCCTGACCTTATCAGTAATTCTTGCCACGTCAATTTGGTCCTCGTGGAGAAATTAATCAGGTACAGTTGAGTAGTTGACACGCCATTATGTGAGAAGATTAACCAAATTGTTCGGGTCACTAATACTCTCACGATGGGAAGAAGCAGCAAATATAATCCAAATTTATTTGAGGAAGTTTATGGGGATGGAGTGTTTATCACTGATGATGACTCCGTCAGCAAACGCGCGCTTGAATCGAATGAATTTTTAAGATGACTTTGTGAGCTTAGCTGTAGATTGTAGTGATAGTCTGAGCAGATAGCACGGCCTATCAAGCCTGACCAGGAATGGATCCATGTTGGCCAATTGACTTGGAACATCTGGACTTCTGGAGTAGTAACATTAATTAATTGACTAATAACAACTTCTAAGAAGTTTATTTTTCTACTCATGTTTATCCCAAAAATAAGTTTATTTTTAAATAACTATTGCATCAGAGTTTGTGAAAAAAATGTATTGTGAATAGATAAGGAGAGAAATAATTGCCTTGGATTTAAAAAAAATGAGGGTGTTGTAATATTTTGTTTTATTAATATGTGTGTGATGATTGAAACATAAACTTATTTTGGGATATAGAGGTTACGCATAGCACCCCACTGCATTTCTTTCAATATTTGGACATGGAGCATGCTAGCTAGACCACTGGCAAAGGGTATTGTCCATAATATAATAATATATTTTTTCTACTTCCTCCCTCTATTTTTGGAGTTTTTCATGAAGATTAAAAAAATGTGAAATTGAATGAGATATGATTATAATTATTAAGATGAGAAAGCACAAACTAAATAAAATATGGTTGTAATTGGTTAAGATGATGGAGTAGGCAGGAAAGTTTGCTATATCCTAGAATAAATCTGGAATTCTAGAATTTGTTATATTTCAGAATAGAGGGATGATTTTTATGCTAAGATAAAATAAAAAAACAGTTTTTATCATTGGTTATTTATAAAACTTGTAATCTTATTTCCCCTTTTTATAGTTCCTCTCGTTATAAATATTTAGTTAAATAAACTTTTAATATTTTGACCATCAATTTTATATATAATAAGTTTATAAAACCTAATATATTTTTATCATAACATGGTATTACTTTTTAAGACAAGTATACACGTGCCATGTTTTAATCTTTTTTATAAAAAAAGCACTGTTATTGATGGTAAAAATTTTAAAAGTTAACAGAAGAAACTTGGGACCCTTTGATTTATAGGATTGGCAAAGGATTTTCATAGAATTCAAATTCCTATGTATTTTTTCCTAAATGTTCCTTTGATTCATAGGTAAGAAAGGAAACTCATAGTATTGTATTTATATGCTTCACATTTCATACAAAAAAAATAGTGACTGAGTTCGTTTCTTACAGTTCCCAACTCACCTTCTTTGTTTTCGGCATGCACGCTTTTCAAACGGTTAAACCATGCATTTTTTTTAAAAAAAATTCTATAGGAAAGTTGTTTAAAAAAATCATATTAATCAATTTCTCAAGTTTTGTAAGCTAATACTCCCTCCGTCCCATAATATAAGGGATTTTGAGTTTTTGCTTGCAACGTTTGACCACTCGTCTTATTCAAAAATTTTTGAAATTATTAATTATTTTATTTGTGACTTACTTTATTATCTACAATACTTTAAGCATAACTTTTCGTTTTTTATATTTGCAAAAAAAATTTAAATAAGACAAGTGGTCAAACGTTGCAAGCAAAAACTGAAAATCCCTTATATTGTGGGACGGAGGGAGTACTTAATCAATCACACATTAATGAACTGCTCCGGTTTCCGTGCATGATAGGAGTGTTCCCAACCGTGACAAACTAACACAGCCGAAGAGGTGTGATCTCTTTGTGCACTTTCCTTTTTTTTCCTATGACACTATCAATTAAAGAACTTTTATTGTCATTTATGTGTTTTTATTCCTATAGGATTTAAGAAACATACTATTGCATTTTTTCCTATTCTTTTTTCTGTCTGACGAATCAAAGAGACATTTATTTTGAATATCAGATATTCCTTTCGTCCTAAAATATAGCATTTAATACTAGTCCTAAAATATGGCTACTTCTCCACCTACCTTATCATCTCAATCAATCACGACCATTTCATATTTTAATTTCTCCACTCACTTGCTTATCGTAGCTAATGACAATGTTTTTCATTTAATTATACCCTTCTTCTTAATTAAAAAAATAAAGTATAACGATAACTAGTATATTTTTGGATGAACGGGTTACTACTTATGATCGTAAGGGAGTATTAAGATACTACCTCCATCCTAGCTATACAAATGCATAACTGAAATAACATGGACAACAATTTAATCAGACAAAGTCTCATTTATATAGATTTCACATGAGGGACAACCTTTCAGTATCATTTTATTTCTATCACCTAAAAATCTAAAACCCAACTTGCCGTGCTCATGGATAATAAAGAACAGTGAGCGTAGATCGATCAAGATCTACACTTGCATGCTCATAAATAAGCACACAGTTAAGTGATAAATGGTTGGAAGAAGTAGATAGGCAGAGGCAGGCCGGCAGCTGAACTGATGCCAAATTGACAACGACCCGTCCTTGGGTACTTCCTCCGTTCCGTAATAAATTCACTTTTAGCTTCTTTTATTGGTTTCAAAACAATTTATTTTTAATAAAAATAATCATTGTGCCGAATGTTATAAAAAGCAAAAAAAAATTATATTAAAAATAGATAAAGTAAAAAATAATTGCATTAGAATTTGATAAAGTAGGGATATTATATTTTTTCTATTAGTATGCTTGGGATGAAAAAAAAGTAAACTTACTTATATTTTTTTGTTTTCTACGGCCCGTTCGATTCTTCTGTAAAGAGAGGATTAAATTTTGGATACTCGTGGCACGTTTTTTAAACTGCTAAACGGTATGTTTCATGCGAAAGATTTCTATATGAAAGTTGATCTAAAATATCAGGTTAATCTATTTTTCAAGTTTGTAATAATTAAAACTCAATTAATTACATGTTATTACAACATCGTTTTACGTGAAACACTTAATCTTCATCTTCAGGATATTCAAACACCACCGTAGGCGTAGTACGTCAAAACACTGAATTGTACATTGGACTATTATTGGAGTGCTGGTTCAGTGCAATATACATGTAGAAGTATCTCACTCATTACTCCAAGATGATTTGACATTTTGTCCAGCTGCTATTGTAGGTGAACCCAATGCTACAGTTATGCTAGGCTATCATCGTCTGCTCGTTGATTTTTGTCAGCCTTAACTAAAATTTAAAGTTTAAATACCCCTATTTTTACCGCACGGTTAATTTGCACACTCCAATTGCCTCCAAACATTCAGTTTTTTTTCCCTATTTTTTGAGCAGATGTTACAAGTACTAGCCCATGTAGGCCGCCCTTATCTTCCTCAGCCCATATAGGCTGCCCTTCTGATTCTCAAATGAATTAGGGGACAAGATGTCAATATCTTTCAGGGCCCCATGATTAATGACCATGCTATACCAACATTATGGTGCACACTATTAACATTATGGGCCTAATACAGTCATCTGTCTTGGAACAATACCCGGCCTGCAAGTAGAACTGCTGTACTACTTAAACAACTTAATTATTACGATAGGGGCTGTCTATAACTAGCCAAATGCTTGTGCGTTGCAACGGATTTTCTTAAAGTATATAAAAATATTGAACAAAATGGGTTAATATTTCTCAACAAAACGTATATATTTTGTCGTTGAGCATAAAACTTCACAAAGTAGATTTGTTGAAGCAAGTATAGAAGTCCGTTGCCTTGTCAACGATTATAGTGGTTCAATCATATATACGTGTGTATTTTGATTGCCTCAAGGTGATGAAAAAATGTGATTAGTAATTATTCACTCCAAAAGAAACTGATGTTGAATAGGTAGTTGAATTTGAGAGACATACAGGTTACAAATCAAACACCCATAACAAGAGCCCGTGCCCATAAATTAGTGATGGAGGTGGTGATGACAAAACCACCACACCACTATCAACATTTAAAATAGTATAGATATAGTACAAGTGGATTTTATATTTCTTTTATGCTACTAATTACTCATTGTATCCATTATATGAAAACGCAATGGGACCCGCATATCAATGAAACATCGGTTCTTCTTTCGTCCTTTTAGCTATGCATCTGGACAAGCAAACATATAACTAGTATTGTAGAAACAAGAGAAATAGAAGGCGTAAAATATACGAGTGGAAAAATACGAGAAGCTAGAATCTACTCTCAAACACACGATGGGATTTTGTGAGAATTCTAGGAGGACCAAATTAATTCCTATGAAAAATCCTATTAAACTCCTCCATGTTCTAAAGTATCATATTATTTCCTTAGGATTAGCTCTGCCCCTGTCCCATTGGTTATCTTTTTCCCTGTACCTCTATGATCATATAATCATAGTGGACGCCATCAACTCATTAAGCTAATCCATCCATCCTAATATGTAGCAACCTCATCTTAGATTGCTAGATATTGAGACGGTGGGAGTACGTGGCTCCACACATCATGTTCCCAGTTGACACACGTAGCATCTGTTATTCATTCATTCATACTGGAGTACTCCTAGTATATCCTAAACAAATTACTAACATATTTCTAAGGTGGACAAAATAAATAATTAAATATTCTCTAATAGACAATTGAGAGACTCAGCCACATCCACCTGTTCTTTTGGGGACCAAATTCCGATGGTACTAGAGGATGCCTTGCCGACGTCCTTTACACAATTTTATTTTCTCTGATTCTTGCAACAGTTCAAATATCAATTGTAAAATATTGCTAGCATAGTTACTCTGCAAGTCCAGAGCATATGGAGACATGGAGTACTACTGTAGCAATCAGTGTTAAAAGGTTGGTACACAAAAGGAAGGGAATCCTTGGGTTTAATAACCTATTAACCTCACCTCAGATCACATGATAATGCAGTGGGATCCTATGCTCGTAAACACATAATACTACTACATAAGAGTACTTAACAAGCAAGAGAAAGTATCAGAGATTCCATTGGGGGAGAGAAAAATGTAATCTGAAAAGTTGGGATATCCTGAAAATTCAACCTCTCCTTTTTTTTTTCCTACCTGATATATACTCCTTTCCACAAAGATGAAAGGTTGCAACAAAAAAGACAGGATGGAATTGAAGGAGTGACCACTGCAGCACATGAGCTGGTAAAAGTTCTTTGGAAAAGATTGGCAAGATATGATTGCTTCAGCAATAGTAACCGGTGCTTACCTGGTGGATCCAATAGGACTCAGAATGATTCAGTATACCAATGACCATACTGGTGATGCATTAGCTTTTGAAAGACACATATAGTTGCAAGGACATTTTACTTTATACAGATCCCATCAAGGGATTACAATCATCCATCCATCAGCACAGCTTAACAAATAGGAGATGCAATGAAACTACATTATGGATGATAACATTTAGCCATGCACTTTCTCTAGTTGACATCGCAATATTAATATCATATGTACATGTTGATTTCAAGGTGTTCTGTAGCTACTACATTCAAGGTCTATGGTGAGGATACCCTAGATAGATGTGCACACATTTCTCCAGCACTCCAGCTTAGTGACATATAGAGCTTTCAGCTGTGGAAGCAGATGCCTTGAGTGCAACGTGTGATATGTCCAAGATACACTACTTACCCAGTAAGAAACAACAACAATATGTTGATCCTGTCATCCTGACAGTTTGTATGTACAGCATTTCTTAAGTTAAACAATAAGCATAATTCTAGCCCTCTAACATGCCAAGCTGGAGCTTAAACTTTACGGCTAGAAATTAAATCTTCAGAAGTTTATATAGTACATAATTGTATTTCACAGTTACTATCCTGGCATGGCATTTTAACTGCTAAAACAAAACACATATATGGTAAAAAGTTAATATGCTTTTCCTAACAACAGAGTAATAGATTTCCACAAGTAATTCACGGCATGAAGAGAAGTTAAGAACTGGTGCGAAGGGAGCTATTATTTCATCTTTCATTGTAAAATTCCCAATCACATTGTTCTAACACTTAACCTCGGTTGTATGTTCAATACAGATGTGCTATTCTGTAATCAAGTCACTAAGGCTAAGAAAATGAAAACAGATAAAATAACTGTAGCCGAATAGTGTACAATCCAACCCCCAGCTTGAATTTTCTGCAGATAGAAATGACATCAAGTCAGATTACCTTTTGCAGTAACTAATGCTCTGGTATCAGAAACCAAACATAAGCAAGAAAGAGATAGCACTATTTCATGGGAATAAGTTGAAAACACAAATTAGAAGTTTTGTATCGCTACCAGGGGTAATTTTATTACAAATTGTCCAAAACCAAAGTGATTCCAATGCAACCCATTGCCAATTATTACTTAAGGGTAAAGTATATGAAGCCAGAATTGATTATTGAAATAGACCAAAGATCTTTGAAAAGTTCTTCGATAAGGGTCTCAAAAAAAGGCGGGGAAAAGGCTAGAGCATTCAGAATATGAACATTAAAGATCACCACCACTCTCAATAGTTTAATACAACAATCTTACTGATAATTTAACCTAGAATCCGGATTATAAAAGGTTATCCATAATGTGTGTCCTAGTGATCTATTAAAGGAGTTAATTGGCCCATCACAACTGGAAGACGTATTAGCATTTAAGTAATGATAAACTCAGACAGGTATCTCATTATTGTCAACATTATTCTGAACTGGAAACTCCATGCAATTTTATTTGAAAAAACCGAAAATAAGAACAAATATAGGGAAGAAGTGAAAGCATACAAACCACAATGAATGCTCACACAAGGATATTAGTCAAGCACAGAAGTATCATCTAAAAATCTAGACCAACATGATCCATTGTGCAACTTTCTAGTTTCTAATACCAAAATTCGTTTGATACTTTGATGAGGATTTAAGAAACCAAAATTAGGATTAAAACCTATCATACGTTTTCCTGCAAAATAACACTGGATGATTAAAGGCCCAGCAAAATGGTTGGGACATGATGTTGCCTGGAAACATGCAATAAAATCAGAGTATTCAATAGTTCTATGTTGTATGAAATGACCGTTTTTAACAATTGAGTAGACATATCCTCATTTTAACACAAGGCAAGAATGATTTAACAAGAAAATACAGAAAAGGTGTAGACAAAACAAAAGATTAAAAATGCAGTCCTTACCCTAAGAGACAAGAAGTACGAGGGTGCAGATGAAGGTAATAGACCCTCATAACCAATATCATATGCAATCCTTCCATCAGCATTAAACAGCCCATAGTGCCTCTCCGAGCTAGGTCCAGGCTTCGAATTCTCATTAAACAACGCAAAGATGTATGCTTTGACTGGTCTCTTTGGCTTGAGAGGAGTTCCTTTCCTCAGAAAGAGCCTCTTTCGGAGGTTGAAATTGTAAGTCCTTGCATTCTCAACTGAAGCTCCTGCCTCAGTTTGATCTCCACTAGAAGCCCAGCCAGTCTCCGCTACTCGGACCTCCATGTCTCTATACCCAGCGGCCTGCAGAGCAGCATAAGCTGCATCTATCTGAGCATCGAACATGTTATCATAATGCAGACTAGTATTCGGGTCAACAATTCCAGGATTGGGCTTGAAGAGAGCGTAATTAATGTCAATATGTTCTGGATCACTTATGTAGGCCAAAAAGGGATATGCGTTGACATAGAAAGGTGAGCCAATTTGTTGAAAGAAGTCCAGCAGTGGTTTCATATACACCATGACATCTTCCTTGAAAACACATGCAGAAGGTGGATATGAAGTAGCAAAAACAGCTTCTGAGTGTGGTGTGAATAGCTCAATTTTGTCTTGCAAGTGAAATTTCTTGAGTCCATTATAGACATTCTTCACAGCTTGAACGAGGGGCTCGGCCAAGCTTGTATCTTGACCTCCCAGCACCTCATTTCCCACAGTGATCCCAACTATGCGTGTCTGAGGAAGATAGGGCTGCACATTCTCATTCAGCCAGTCGATCGACCTGCTCTCATTCGCCGCAAAATCCTTCACGAGCTCATTGGGGATGGCGATAACCAGATTGAGCCCAGATCCCTTGAATGCATCAAGAACGCTGTGATCGGAATCGTATATCTTGACATTCCTTATCTTTGAAGCTCTCAGGAGTTGTACTACTTTATCCGGAGAAGGGATGTTGTTTGCTATTCTCCCGTAGTTTATCCCATAGCCCCCGGGAAACGCTTCCACGGCTCTAGGACCTTGTCACAACAAATACCAACAATCAAATTTCATATCATTAATACCAAATCAAGGAATTATTTTTTTTTCTAGGCATCGCAATCGAAAGCATGAAAGGCTCAATAACTGGTCAAGAAAGAGAATTGGCAAGAGAATTGAGTTGAATTGGATGGAAAGATGGGAAAAAAAATTTCAGTACCATGTGAAGGGAAGGCGAGGAGGAGGCAGAAGAGCAGCAGCATCCAGTGAGCACGCCCGCTCCGACTCCGACTCCGACAACTCATCATCATCAACGTCGCCTTCATAGCAGGGACACCACAATCCGCTTCACAGCCAGAAGTGGTGGTGGTGGTAGCCTCAGTTCCAGGGCGGGGCATGGCGCCGCGGCGGCAAGTTCCATAGACGGACCACCGCTCCGCCACGGCCGAGCACCTCCGAGCAATCTTGGCCCGCCGCCTTCTCCACGGATTCACCAAGAACGGTAAAGAATCCGCAAGAACCGGATCCCTCCCGCCGCCGACCAATCAACCAACGCACCACCACCACCACCAACAACAACAACACCAACACGAAGGAATCTCGATTCCCGCTCGTTATAGTCCACAACTCCTCCTCCTCCTCCTCCTCCCAGTGGTAAGCACACACCTAGTCACAACTCCACTCTTCTCGCGGACTACTAAATATAACCAACCAACCAAGCGAAGCAGCAGCAGCGAAGCAAGCAAGAAGGGTGGGGTTAAGGAAGGATTAGGGGGGTTTGCTTAGCGGGGAGGAGATTGGGGGGGGGGTACTATTTGGATGGATGGAGGAGGAGGAGGAGCACGCCGCCCGCGCCGACTCCGGGGGTGGCTCGCTCACCGCCGTCGCAGCGGAGGAGAGAAGGGGAGGGGAGGGGGGGTTTGGGAATTTTGAAACGCGGCGGAGGTGGGTGGGGGGTGGTGGTGGTGCGCGTGTCGCGGGGGGTTGAAGAGGGCGGCGTTTGCGTTTCGTTTCTCTCTCTCTCTCTCCGTGGCGGTTTTGCGGATCGCCCCCTCCGAGGACGCGTGCCTCTCTTTGTTGCAGTTTCTTCTCTTATTTTTATTCCCTTTTCCTTTGGCAGTTTTTTTTTTAAAGAAAAAAGAGGGCGGCTACAAAACGGGATCCCGTTGCAACAGGATAGGCATATTAACTATTCTCTTGCACGAGTATCACGAGTACCAGGTCCTAGGTATCACAGGTATCGGGTATCATGCAGCTGGTACCACAACAGGTATCAAGTACTGTCTCATAGAAGGGTATCCCGTTCCAACGGAATACCGTTGTCTAGGTTTTCTGTTTTTTTTTTTGGGAAACACGGTATAACGTATTCAATCTATCCCCGAATAACCCAACCTGAGTGTAGGTGTGACATAAGGACACCTCCAGCGCGCAGCTAAAAGGAGGCGCTTATAAGAAAAACCGGGGTTTTTTTTATTACCACATAGGATCAATGAGACGCTTAGCGCAGGAAGCCGCTGCTTCGTGCGGCGCCGACGCTTGGGAGGTGTTTGCACGGGTGCTACAGATGGAACCTATTATTTCAGGCATCAGTCCAACTCCCTAGCATTGGACCATCAGGCTCTTGAGTGAAGTGCTTAGTTTAATCATATTTTTAAGCACCTCCTTAAGCATGTACTTAGCGTTGGAGGTGCCCTAATAACCTAGTATAATAAATCCGAACAAAGGATCGTTCATTGAGGTTCTTTTAGGATAGAGGAAGTAGAAACACAGACACTCACCCCAATAATTTATATTCGCCTGAGCATCTTCGAGAGACTGGATTGATATATTTTAAGATTGATTATTATTTTTAGTTGTTATTATCCATGTTACACTTACTCGCTATACTGAGCAGCGTGTGAATTTTAAGTGAAATGTATGTATGCTATTGGATTATGGGTTAAAGAAGATGATGTTTGGAATTTGGGTGCAGTAGGTCCTGTGAAACTTTGGCTTCAGTAAAACTGGGGTGACTAATGACTATCGAAGTGTGTTTTTTACTCTCTCTTTTCAACTTATATTCCCTCGTTGTAGATGTGCACGCTTTCTAAATAGGTGCTAAATAGTGTGGCTTTAGAAAATCGTATCAATACATTTTTAAGTTTTGTATTAAATACTTAATTAATCATGCTCCGTTTTGCATGTTGAAGGAAAATGGTTCCCAATCCTTAGCTTCAAACACAATTGTTGTGTACAAAATTTGCATCCTCTAAATCACCACAAGCCATATGCATGCTGATCTATGTATACGTGATCTCATGCCTTGTATAAGACCTAAAATACGTACGCACAAAATATGTTTTGAAAATATCTTTATTGGGGCTAGTCGAATAACTTCAGGAGTAAAAATTATCAAGTTTGTCACTAGGAAATTTAAGGAACATCCTTAAGGTTTATGATCTCACAAATAATGCCACCTTAAATAGAATGTTTTAGGCTCATTGAAGGAATCTCATGAAATGCGTACGGAACTATAGTTTGCAGGGTTGCTGGATGAATAGACACCCTCTTACTAGACGGCTAATGAGTGGGCCCAATGTATCATGCGTTCATTAGCTCATCATGTACAAGGTTATAATGACCTTTTAATAGGCGTGTGAAACCAATTTTATAACGGAGAATGAATGCTATTGTGATAAGGCGATTAAACAGTATCCACAATTAGTGCTTAAACTTTAGGAAAAAGAATATTTATCATGTAAGCGTATCTATGTCAAAGGAGTAACACGCTTATGGCTTTTCAAGTAGGTTTTGATGAACCCCATGGCGTGTTGATCCACTTAAAAGCTCAATTTGTATGGTGTAGTCTCAACTTTCCTGTTTCCTTAGCTCTTGTACTATATGCTTATTGGTAAGCTAAAGTTGTTGTGCTATGGTGAGGTGTTTGCTTTAGGCAGTGGTGGTCATCACTCCCCTAAAGTCTCCTTTAACAAGTGGCTTTGCAAAGGGAATACTTGACTGAGAAAGACTCAAGGCAAACGGTTTTTACTTCCTTTTTCTTTCTTTCAGGCACAAAACTACACAATGAGACAAACGAGGAGGAAACCAACAAATATTCTCAGCCTTTTCTTTTTCAAGGAATGAAATGGCGATGAATGTGCGTGTTTACCGAGGTTCTAAACGATGTATTTTTTTTAAAAAAAAACTTTGTATATACAAATTTCTTATAGAATTGTTTTAAATCTATATTTTTTTAATTATATGATACTTAATTGATTCATTTATACCCTCGAATAATGATCACAAACCTTGCATTCAGCTATTCAGCATAAAAATTAAAGAACAAAACATACTCAAGTTCTGAACTTAAGATGCTATAATACAATGTTGAGATCTTTTTCGCCTAGTTCTATACTACAAGCTAGCCAATTCTTGTTCTTGCTTCACGAAGAAGGGGGTCTACTGAAGTCAATGAAGTATATATTACATTCATACTACTCATGAAAGTTGATGACAGGACACACAAGGATGAAAACACACAAAATACATGCTGAGTTAGCATATCATCATTTCCTCACTCTGTACTGCTGGCAGATGAGTCAGTGCCAAAACGATGGCACTGGGAATTGGATGTTGTGTAGGGGCACATCAGCTTTGATCCCTCTCTTTTGTTGGAAAAAAAGGCAACTTTAATTAGGGTAAAACGCTTGGCTTTCTTCTTAACTAGGTTAGCCTCTATGGTGCTCTTGCTTTCAGCCTTTCAGGGGTGAGTAATCAAGCACAAGAAGATCCACAGCAATTGGCAGCATCTCTGAAAGATTGGGATCATCCGAGTGTCATGGCATACATGCTTTTTTAGACTTGCCGTAGTTGCACCAACAGTAGATGATAATTCTCCTTAACTCTTTAAAAGATGGCAATATCAAAAAGAAAAAAAAATACTACGGGTTACCATAAAAGGAATCATACATGTACAATATCATTTAACAAAAGTAAAATCTCATGACTGTATTTAGTTGTGGTATCTAGAAAGAATTGTCAAAAGAGATACATTGTCATCTGATCCATCCTCTTATTCTTGTCATCGAAGTTTGCTCTGTTTATATATCGTGAATAATACACACATCATTTTTTCCGCTCGTGAATGGCATAGCTTTGGAGCTAAGAATTTTTTGTTAAAGCTAGGATATGGATATGGATATTTTAATGACTTGCTAAAGGTCCATGTATTGCAACGGATAAGCAATATAATATAGTTAGTTATTAGGCATATAACATCAAAGCAAAAGCATTCATGTGTGGAGATCTTATGGCCCCACACATTAGCTTGTGACGTTGGAGACGGATTCGGACGCCACCACTAACATCATTTAAAGTAGTATAGATTGTTTCTATTTTTAAAAAAAATACACAAAAATTTAACCACTGCAATTCAATTTATAAACTTTGAATCCAACGTAAATCTAAAATCGATCTAAGGTTGTGCTAAACAGACCTTAGACACGATTTTTTTTTCTCATTGCACATCAAATTAAAAAAATAAATAGGAACAAAAGGGATAATTAGAGGGCTAAAACGAAATTCTCCACCCTTTCACACATTCCCCTCCCCAGTGATCAGTCGCAAAACCCTAGTTGGCAGGTTGCTTTGACTGCGACCATTGCACCTTAGGCTGACTGGTACCACGAAGCTTTCTGCAAAAAACGGAGGGCCCAGAGACGACGGAGACATGATCACGTTGGAATCAGCATGGGGTGCACAAGAATTTCATACCTTTATGTCAATCCGGGACCCACCCAAGACAAGGATCTAGGATCTGCTGAAGTTATGGTGAAAGATATAGTCATCATCACATGAAAACGATGCATTATATTAGCGGGAATAAACTCATTATTCCTGGGTTATTCACAGTACTTCACTAGATCACGTTGTTTTGAAGTATTATATTGATATAGTCTTTATTTGAAGTACAACTTTGACCACAAAGGATTCTTTGAAATGCATGAATTTTACAGGATTTTTATAAGCAAAGGTCCTTAAAGAATCCCTCATTACAAAGTAGGCCTAAATCCTAATTCATGCAATAACATATTTATATTTATAAATTCCAGTTAACGCTGTAATTACATAAATATACTTTTCAATACAAACCTACCATTAGCCTTTTGTGTATCTAACATAAATAATTTAAAAAACTATAGCAACATTTAAAATTTTGAAAGTTTGAGTTGTGTTTGATAGTTTTAGTGTGGGAGAAACGAGGATATCCTCAAAACCATTTCTTGTATAGTTTAAGTTTACCTTTGAAACGCACAAATCCAAATACACATGAATAGAAAAAACATAGGTATCAACAAGAGTCCTCTAAATTGCAGGAATTGTTGAAACGTGTTTGTTTTGATGCTTTATAGGAAAAGTATAGGATTTAGGATATGAGAGAGATATGAAGAATGTTTCCCATGAGGTCCAACATCACATTAGAAATCCTCCCAAATTTTCATAAATTAAGCTATTCCAAATTAAGCTATTCCAAAGGAATTTTGTAGGAATTTCAAATGGTAATTCCCTTGTTCCAAGGGAGTATCGGAAAATTTTCCATGGGATTTCAATTCTAATTCTAAAAAGAACATGTATTTTTCCTTTGTTCCGAAGCAGCCCTAAACAATTTAAATATCGTTGTTAGGGGCAGTGGAAGTTCTGGTGGAAACATAGAAAAAATGCGCATAAAGCTGAAAAATAAATACTTTACTTGATATATAGAAGGGATAATGAGTATAGCTGTATAAGTTGTCTCAATCCAGGTTTCTCTGCCATCCTAGGGAGCGTTCGTTCGAGTGAGTTAGCGTGAGAAAGCACATCGTAGTCCGCGCGCACGCTTCCCAAACTACTAAACGGTGCGTTTTTGGTAAAAAAATTTCTATAGGAAAGTTGCTTTAAAAATCATATTAATCCATTTTTGAAATTTAAAATAGTTTATACTCAATTAATCATGTGCTAATGGC